ACCTCCTGCATACCAGGCGAGGTAGTCAACATCTCCTAGCCACCGTGATGATGATGAGAGAGAGAGAGACGCAAACTCCAAATATACAGCAGCAGGCGTCAGGGTCAGGATCGAACCCAGGACCTCCTGCGTACCAGGCGAGGTAGTTAACATCTCCTAGCCACCGTGATGATGAGAGAGACACGCAAACTCCAAATACACAGCAGCAGACATCGTCAGGGTCGGGATCGAACCCACGACCTTTAGACCAGGCGAGGTAGTTAACATCTCCTAGCCACCGTGATGATGAGAGAGAGACACGCAAACTCCAAGTATACAGCAGCAGACATCGTCAGGGTCAGGATCGAACCCACGACCTCCTGTATACCAGGCGAGGGAGTTAACATCTCCTAGCCACCGTGATGATGATGGGAGAGACACGCAAACTCCAAATATACAGCAGCAGACATCGTCAGGGTCAGGATCGAACCCACGACCTCCTGCATACCAGGCGAGGTAGTTAACATCTCCTAGCCACCGTGATGATGATGGGAGAGACACGCAAACTCCAAGTATACAGCAGCAGGCGTCAGGGTCGGGATCGAACCCAGGACCTCCTGTACACCAGGCGAGGTAGTAAACATCTCCTAGCCACCGTGATGATGATGAGAGAGACACGCAAACTCCAAATATACAGCAGCAGACGTCAGGATCGAACCCAGGACCTCCTGTACACCAGGCGAGGTAGTTAACATCTCCTAGCCACCGTGGCGCCCCATACGAACTCGGTCATCCGAGTTTGATCGCGAGCCACGCGGCTTAACAACATCAGTTGGCGAGTGACGAATCAGAATCTTTGTCATTCGACTCCAGGAGGAATCCGATGAGCTATGAAGCTCTTTGTTAATTGCACAGACGTCAGTCCTGCCCCTCCCCCCTCCCCCACACAGCCACCGCACGGCCCAGCGTGGTGAAGTATGGTCAAACGAACCCCATCCACCCAAACCTCCCATCCAGCAGTGGATGGAGCAAAGCGCCCCCCACGGTTCACGGGCCCGTTGGGGGGGGGAGGGGGGAGACGAGAGGGTCGCGCTCCCATTGGCTGCCGAGGTGGCGCCACGCGCGAGAGGCGCCCTCCGATTGGTCGAGAGAACGCGGCAAACGCTAAATAACAATTTAGCATTTGGCGATTGAATTATATGTGTCTACGTGTGTGTATATGTGTGTGTGTGTCTATGTGTGTGTCTACGTGTGTCTACGTGTGTGTATATGTGTGTGTGTGTCTATGTGTGTGTCTACGTGTGTGTGTGTGTCTATGTGTGTGTGTCTACGTGTGTCTATGTGTGTGTGTCTACGTGTATGTGTGTCTGCGTGTGTCTACGTGTGTGTGTGTGTACGTGCGTGTATATGTGTGTGTGTCTACGTGTGTGTGTGTCTACGTGTGTGTCTTTGTGTCTATGTGTGTGTGTGTCTACGTGTGTGTATGTCTACGTGTGTATATGTGTATGTGTGTCAATGTGTGTGTGTCTACGTGTGTGTCTATGTGTGCGTGTCTATGTTTGTGTCTACGTGTGTGTGTCTACGTGTATGTCTACGTGTGTGTGTATGTCTACGTGTGTGTGTATATGTGTCTGTGTGTCTATGTGTATGTGTGTCTGTGTGTGTCTTTGTGTCTATGTGTGTGTGTGTCTACGTGTGTGTGTAGTGTGGGTGTGAGTGTTGTGTGTGAATCGAACTCGGGTGGGCCCAGGTTCGTGGCGCAGCGTAGCGCTAACCACTGCGCCACCGCTCCCCACACACACACAAAGACAAAGATCCCCCGTGTAGCCTTAACAGGCTGCAGGGGCAAGTGCTGTTATAGCGAGTAGCAGCACCTATGAAGGCCGGAACGGCACACGAGGGGGTGGGTGGCCAGCAACACCCAAACACACACACATAGACACACACACGCACACATAGACACACAGACATAGACACACAGACAGACAGACACCCAAACACAGACACACAGACACGCAGACACACACTCACACAGACACAAAGACACGCGGACACACTCACAGACACACATAAAGACACACGCAGACAGACACGCACACACAGACAGACACACAGACACAAACAGACACGCACACGTAGACACGCACAGACAAACTCCACAACAACACGGCAGAGCAAGGGAGTTTGTAACACACCGCGCGGGCTACACCCAACTCTGGTTCATGCGACTCGTGTGTGTGGGGTGTGAGTGTGGTGCGTGGGTGGTGGTGTGGTGGGGCGTGAGTGTGGTGTGAATGTGGTGTATGTGTGGTGTGGTGTTGGTGTGTGTTGTGTGTGGTGGGTGTTGTGTGTTGCGTGTGGATGTGGTGTTGGTGGTGTAGTGTGGGTTGTGGTGTTGGTGTGAGTGTGGTGTGTTTGTGTGGTGGTGTATGGGTGTGGTGTTTGTGTGGTGTGTGTTGTGGTGTTGGATGTAGTGTGGGTGTGGTGTTTGTGTGAGTGTGGTGTGTTGTGGATGTGGGTGTGGTGGATGCCCACCACTCGGCACACGTTTACTCACCAGAGCCAGCACCATCGCTGCGAGCCTCACAACTCACAACTTGCGCTAATGGAGACGCTGATTCGTGGAGTGGGTGGTAGTGATGGTGAGTGGTGGTGATGGTGATGATGGTGGTGGTGGGGATGGCGAGTGGTGATTGTGGTGGGGATGGTGAGTGGTGGTGATGGCGTGGTGAGGATGATGGTGAGTGGGTGGGTGGGGCGGTGGGAGTGAAACGAGGACTCAAAGCGCCCTGGGGGCACCGACAAAGTTGAAAACACAAAAGGGGCCGTCCATAAATGACGTCACGCAATTTTGACCCCTCCCCACTCGTCACACGGCGTCACAAAGTCAGACCCCCCCCCCTTAAATGTGACGTCACAAAGCTCTGCCCCCCCCACCCCCCAAAACCATGGTTCCATTCTAAAAATAAAACATGCTTCAAATCGCTTTAAACTATTGTCATTGTAGTGCGTATTTCATGTGGCGCTGCACTCCGATGTTGTAGGAGAAAACATTTATTAATTTTATTAAGTTATTATTTTATTATTTCCATTCTACGTGACTTTACCGAAAGAACCAAGAAGATGAATCCCTGCAGTCACGAAAGCTTTAAATCGAAATTTAAGTTTTATTGTTGTATATTCCGAGTGGCTTGTTCATGTGCACGCGCGGAGCCCCAGTGCGTGTCTATTGTTGTGTCGATGCCGAGTGATCTATTCTTGTGCTGCCCTCAGAGCGTCTTGCAATGCTGCAGTGTCTCGCGCGCCGATTCGTCAAGCTCAGCCAATCAAACACGTTGGAAGGGGTGGCCTAAAATGCTAATTATGTACGGAAGCGCCGCCTATTGGTCAATGAATCACGTTCACGGACGCGCCTCGACTTACGAACGGGTTGAGTTCATGAGATCCGTGCGTAAGTCGGGGTGTCCGTAAGTCGGAGTGTCCGTAAGTCGGACTTTAGCTGAGCCTGGCCAAGCGGCGCGGGAAGAGCCGGGGGGTTGTTTGACCATACTTCCCCATTCAGGTTTAGTGCGGAAGTTGGTGGTGAACGCTGTGAGCATTGTAAAGTACATGGCGGTCCACATGTCCTGTGACCCCCCCCCCCAAACCATTTTAATTCTCTTCAAACTCAATTATTTTTTGTGCACCAATGGGTTGTGACAAGAAGGATTTATTTAAGCCCGAAGCAGGCGGAGGAGGATTTCTCCACAACTCTGTGGCTCTCGCCCAATGACGCAGCTGGTCTTTGTTATTGCCGGCGAAACGTCACGAAACTCGAATGGTCAATGTTGTCCGTGCAGGGGTCACCTGCACTACACGACGGAGCGCTGCCCCACCAAGCAGCTGGAGATGATACATCATCTGTCTAATAATAAACTAAATTTAGAAGAAAAAAAAGATTTATTTCAACGTGAATTGCCTAAAGAAGACAACATTTTAAGTTGTCCGTATCACAAAGCGCTGCTGCCAACGCGACGTTTTGGCCGCTTGTGTTGAACCAGAGAGTATCACTCCGAAATATTCACCTCGAAATTATTTGTCGAGTCGTGTCAGCTGATCTTTCATTGTTCTCGAAGCTTCGGGCAGCGTCGAAGGGGTTTGTGTGGTGTGGACTTGGAGGGTCGTGGAGCCGGCATTTGAGTGCTTTGTTGATTTCTATCGTTGTAGATTTGAAGTTTTCGTGACTGCAAGGATGCACACTCTTTGGTTTTACCGTATCAATTGATACGGTAATTTTGCTGTGACGGTTCCACCTGAAGACGGAAGCTTGTGTTGCCTCCGAAACGTCGTGATTTAATTTGTTTTCGTTTTTAACCTACGTGACTTTACCCGAAAAAACCCAGAGTATGGATTTGTATCCTGTTCGATCTCGACTTGAAGCTTTCGTGACTGCAGGAATCCATACTCTTTGGATCTTTCGGTAAAGTCATGTGGGTAGAAAATAAAATAAATCACGACGTTTCGGGCGCAACACAAGCAGCGTCCGTCATCAGGTGCGCCCGAAACGTCGCTGATTTATTTTATACCCACGTGACTTTACCGAAAGTACAAAAGCGTTTGTTTCGTGTTGTGTACGAACGCTTACCGTGGGTAGATAAGACAGTTGTACGACTTTCACGGGAAGGCCTAGAACACGAGGGCTTTTTTTTTTTATAAAACCATCATCATCATATTCTTAGGTTTTTTGGTAAAGTCACGTAAGTAAAAAATTTAAATGAAAGTTAAATTTCTCTCACTTGATACAGCTATCGTGCTGTGACGGTTCCACCTGAAGACGGAAGCTTGTGTTGCCTCCGAAACGTCGTGATTTTTATTTTACTTTTATTAATAAAACATTTTTACCGACGTGACTTTACCGAAAAAACCTAAGAATATGAATCCTTGCAGTCACGAAAGCTTCAAATCTAGAACCATCATCATCATGTCAGAGATCACTCACAACAGGCCCACCTCGTGAAGAATATCCCGAGTTGGGGGGGGGGTCAAGGCGAGCCATGGAGGCGTTTTCCCGTCCAAGCCGGTGAGTAGCTTTTATTAGTTGTGTACACAACTCAAGCGAAACACACAAAAAACCCCAACGCGACATCCTCCTCGTCGACATCGCCGCTGCTGCATTTTGCCCCTCGTGAGAGAGAGGGGAGAGAAAAAAAATGACAAACCGCGATTCCAAAAATACCTCATCGTATATTACAAGGAATATCCACACGCAAATTTCCACACGTCTTAAATGCGTTTTAAACAGTACCATCTTCTTCCTCTGCCTCAATGTAACGAGATAATTTACCAACAAACTGTATTGAACTGTCGTGTTTTTTTGCGTGTTTTATATATTTTTGTATCACTTCGGTTTTTATTATTATTAACTTTTAATACACCGCTAAGTAGTTTTTTTTTTTACAACTTTTGGGTGCAAATGCTACCCATCGGGTAAAAGGGGGTCCCCTGTGCATTGCTTTGTCAAATGCGGAAAGTTTCCGCCGATATATAGGCACCGAGATGCTGTCGCCCCAAGTCGAAAAACGCAACCTTGGGGGTTATAGGGGGTGGAGACTCGAGGCGCGTGTGACGATGGATCTGATTGGCTAACGGCTCCGCCGTTCGTCGTCACAATGGACCACGTCACAATGGACGACGTCACAACGGGCCACGTCACAACGGACACGGCGCGCTCGAGGTCGGGGCGCGGTACGCGCGCGTTGGGAGAGGGCGCGCGTCGCTGGCCCAACAACAAACAACAAACAACTGCCGCTCGTCACCGAGTTGGCGGCGACGTCCACCACGGCGTTGTCCACCACACGAGGCGGCGGCCCTCCTGACGCCGTGACGAAGGCTCGCTCGCCGGCAGGCGGTCACGGGACAGACCCAGGTGCCGCGTGCGCGGGTCAAACTCACCCAGGGCACCCAGGACGACCATAGACAGAGTGACCTTCGCCGACCTCCACATTAAAAGCCAGACATCGATATGGGGGTTGGGGGGGGGGCTAAAGTCTCTTGCAAAAAAGGAGACCTGGGGGTAAGAATACAATCAAAGGCCATTTTCTCTCCGCAGCGAGAGAATTTGAGCAAAATGCGTGAGTCTGGAAATCGGCACGTGTTGTTATCCTGTCTTCGATACGACTGTTTGAGCATCGTCGTCGTCATCATCATTATTAAAGCATGTTTCTAATATTCCAAACGCAGGTGTGGTTATATAAAATTGTTTGGGGGTCGTTTTAAAGTCATCAACATTTAGCGCGGGCATACAAACAGTAACTCCCCTAGGATCGCTAAATCTACTGTACACTTTTATAAAAATCTGCTAAGAATGCCGATACAACTTTCCCTCTCTCTTCTATGAGAATCTAACATTTGAAGAAACTCTTTGTGAGCGAAGAATGGGGGGGGGGGAGGTGGGCGATAAACCTATGCAAAGGCAAATATCCCCCATATAGCCTTTTAACAGACTACGAAGGCCGGCACGGCACACGAGAGAGGGTGCTGTTTGTGACCAGAAACCACGCCCGGCCGCCTTTGTCTCCCCAGTGGCGATGTTTAACACACCGCTCCGGCTACTCACTCGGAGGCCGGGTCGACAGTACCGGTTCAGATAATGGGTCGCAAACGCTGCCCGCGCACACAAACACACGCCTACATATGCGCGCTCGTGAAAAATGCTGAACTCCTCCACCAGGTTCAGGTTGCCTGGGGGGGGGGGGGGGCGGTTAGACCGTGGCGTCACTTGGCGATGTCTGAAGACAAGCCCCGGAAGCCCACGAGCTCACGAAAGCGATGTAGAAAAAGTTGAACCGGTGTTAAAATAAAGTTAAAAAATATATATATGTGTACGCTGTCGATATTGTTTTTAAAGCCATGCAAAAGTGCTTTCAAATGTTGACTAACACCGTTCACCAAGGGGTTAAAGTGAGAACACTTGTTACTTTTGTATTCGTCGTTTTAAAAGCACAAGCTAGTGGAGAACAATATTTACATAAATAAAACCACGAAACAATGTAACTGGAATTCAAACGAGGGCACGCAGATTGAGTTTGTATTCTTTTTCTGTGGGTGGGGGTTGGTGTGGGGTGGGGGAGTCTAACCTTAACATAAAAAAAATCACTTAAAAAATACAAAGACACGAAAAGCGACCGATCCCGGTCTCGTGAAGGCAGGCGCTGTGCTAGAATAGGCCGGCATCGGCGAAAATGACACGGAGGCGATGGTGGTGAAGTTGGTGGTGACGGTGGTGGTGACGATAGCGGTGAAGATGGCGATAAAGTTGAAGTTTGGTGGTGACGATGGTGGTGACAATGGCGGTGAAGATGGCGATAAAGTTGAAGTTTGGTGATGAAGTTGGTGGTGACGACGGCGGTGACGATGGCGTTTAAGTTGGAGTTGAAGTTGAAGTTTGTTAATGACGTTGGTAATGAAGTTGGTGGTGACGATGGCGGTGACGACGGCGGTGACGATGGCGTTGAAGTTGGAGTTGAAGTTGGTGAAGTTTGTTGATGACGTTGGTAATGAAGTTGGCGGTGACGATGGTGACGATGGTGGCGACTGTGGCGAGCTGACACAGCATGGGTGGGCAGCGGTCGTGCTGCGACCGCTCGTTCGCTACCACGGCGACTTCCCTTCCCCCATCCTCGTTGAGATCGCTGCAAAGGCGCGGCTGGCGGTGACAGCCAGCGCCTTAGAGGAGGGGGATGCGGAGGGGGAGAGGAGGGCGAGGGGAGGAGGAGGGGGGGGAGAGGGGGGGAAGAAGGAGGGTGGGAGGAGGAGGGAAGGAGGGGGGGGAAGGAGAGGGGGGGGAAGGAGGACGGGGGGGGGAGGGGGGTGGGAAGCAGGGGGAGGGAAGGAGGGGGGGCTGAGCACTCGAGCGAGTGGAAGCGATGCATTAGTTTAGCTGTTTACTACTACTACCCACTACTACGACTACTACCCACTACTACGACTACCCACTACGACGCCCCGCCCACTCGACACTCCGCACCGCCCCCTCCTCCTCCCCAACGAGATCTGTGTTTCACAGTAAAATCCGAGGATGTATAAAATTATTATTAATATTAACACGGCTACTCATCATTAACATTATAATACAGCATACCGGGGGGGGGGGGGGGGGGGGTTATTCAAACTTACCAGCGACTAAATGTATTTGCGAGTAAAAACAAAAAGCCAAAACTACAAACTTTAAAAACAAAACCTACAAAGGTGATAACATTAATAGTACACACACGCACACTTGTAATAAAATATAGCTATGAACCGTTATTTTAGATTGTAACGCGAATGAGAGATAAGCTGGTAGAGATGGGGGGGGGGTGCGATGCCGGACGGCGTTTCGACTTAGCAGGCACAAGGTGAGATGGTTTTTTACTTAAATTAATCAATTCAAGGGAGCCATGAACTCCAATGTCGCGCAGCTGATGCAGCAGAAGCCCTCTCTCCTGCTGCCAACACGTGGCCACTGGGGGGGGGGGGGGGGGGTACCATCACCACCGCACGCTGCAGGCGGCCCAAGCACGACGCGTCGCTTGGATGGAGACCACGCGGCACGAAATCAGCTGGCCGTGTGTTAGTGTGTTAGTGTGTGTTAGTGTGTGTGTTAGTGTGTATCACTGTGTGTCAGTGTGTTAGTGTGTGTTAGTGTGTGTTAGTGTGTATCACTGTGTGTCAGTGTGTTAGTGTGTTAGTGTGTGTTAGTGTGCAAGTGTGTGTGTTAGTGTGTATCACTGTGTGTTAGTGTGTATCACTGTGTGTTAGTGTGTATCACTGTGTTAGTGTGTATCACTGTGTTAGTGTGTATCACTGTGTTAGTGTGTATCACTGTGTGTTAGTGTGTATCACTGTGTGTTAGTGTGTGTTAGTGTGTGTGTTAGTGTGTATCACTGTGTGTTAGTGTGTATCACTGTGTGTTAGTGTGTATCACTGTGTTAGTGTGTATCACTGTGTTAGTGTGGATGTGTGACCAGATGTGTACGATTTTAACGACACCGGGGGGCACAGCCAACAACGCCATCCGTGCCACACAGCCCCTGCCACAGGGACACGCATGCTCTCACCCCCCTCCAGCGTAACCACATCATTCCTCACGCCGCGTCTTCCCGCGATGGTGCATTTTCTGGATTTGAAAATAAAAAGCGAAAAATGACCCCGAAGTTTTGGTTTCGCGTCTTACGTCCCGACTGAGCGTCTAAATCATCCGAGTACGGTGAAAACCGCCCTACGGCGCAAACACACCCTACCCTACCTACGACTTGCAGCCTTCGCTCGCCTACAGCCTCACTCCGCAAACCTACCCCCGCGCGCGGCCCTCTCCGCGTACAGGCCGAACAACTCGCAACGAAAACTACAGCCTCCAGGTTACAGCGGACGCCACCTGCCTACGGGGGGTGGGCATCCGACGCTCACGCGCAGCCGGCCCCTCAAACTGTCGTTGTCGCCGGAGGTGCCGTCTCTGCTGCCGCTGACAAGTCGGCAGCAGGCTCCTCCGCGCTCTTCCCTTGCGAGCGGGGACCACCGCCGATTCCACCACCGCCACTGCCCCCCCCCGCCCATCACTCCCCACACCGCCTCGCTTAGATGAACGTCGGGGAGCGGCGAGGGGGGGGGGTTGGGGGTGCGGCTGCCTGGGCCCCCGAGCTCGGCAACCCGGCGGGGCTGCACGCAAACCGTCGGCAACTCGGCGTGATCATTTCTCTCTCTTGCAACGCGTCTTTTCGTACATTTTACAGTTTGCATAACGGATCGTCGCGTCGCGCGGGATGATCGCGGTGGTAGCGGCAGGTCGGCAGAGGAGGCCTTCATCCAGCAGCGGATTGGCCACGACGACGTTTGGTCTGTCGAGCACACGGAGCGTTGAGATGACACGCGAAGAGTCGGGCGACTCGGCCAGCTGCCCCCCCCCCCCCACACCTTGTGGTAACGTCGTGTTATGGTAATGTGGGCCACCAACAGACGCCACTCCTGCGAGCCGTCACCGCTCACCAGGCCCCGTCAAACCGCGCCCCGGGACTGCGGGCGACCCTCTCTGCCGCTCGGTTCCAACCCCCCAAAAACCGACCCACTGGAGCGTGCGCGCCGCGGCGGTAGCGACAGAACATCATTTGGCTTTCCCGCGGTTACTTTAATCCTAAACTATCGCTAGGGGGGAGCGGGGGAGGAGGAATTTTCGTTTTAAAAATTGCGTTGATACGCGGCAACGAGGGTCCCCCCCCCCCCCACTCCCACTCGACGTAGCGACCCCCCCCGGGGCGGGCGGGTGGGCGAGGTCGTAAGGTCGGGGTCCGCTGCCGGTGGGGTGGACCCACGAGCGATCGATCGAAGCCGCCGGACGCCCCGGTCGCACGTCCGCTGCGGACCGTGGCTCGCCCGCACCGCCCGCACCGCCCGCACGCCACTTCTTCATCCGGTAACGCCGCCGCTCGTCGTCGGGGCTCTGTAGCGATCGCCGGCATGACGACGGCGAGAGACGCGCGGCCGCCCGCGGGGTTCTCCTTGCGGCCGCGTTCTCGCAGACACCTCTTCTCGTTCCCTTCATCGTCGTCGTCCTCTTCCTTCACCTCTCCCGCCAGGTGGATGACACCTAGAGGGCGGGGGGGTTTCAAAGGCAACGGTGAGACGGAGGGTGCCGCCGCAAGCACGAGCACTCATGCCGAGATGTCAACCACAGCGGTAGCCATGAGCCCCAGATTGTTCTGAGTGGGTGAGCGAGTGGGTGAGCGAGCGGGTGAGCGAGTGGGTGAGCGAGTGGGTGAGCGAGTGGGTGAGCGAGCGGAGGAGCGGGCGGGTGAGCGAGCGGGTGAGCGAGCGGGTGAGCGAGTGGGTGAGCGAGTGGGTGAGCGATTGGGTGAGCGAGCAGAGGAGCGGGCGGGTGAGCGAGTGGGTGAGCGAGCGGGTGAGCGAGCGGGTGAGCGAGCGGAGGAGCGGGCGGGTGAGCGGGCGGGTGAGCGAGTGGGTGAGCGAGCGGAGGAGCGGGTGAGCGAGCTAGTGAGGGAGCGGGTGAGCGAGCGTGTGGATGTGCGAGTGCCTGAGCAAGCGAGCGAGTGGGTGAGAAAGTCCATGAGCGAGCGGGTTGAGCGATTGGGTGAGCGTGCAAGCGGATTATAGAGTGGGTGAGTGAGTGAGCGAGCGGGTGAGCGAGCAAGCGAGCAAGTGGGTGAGCGAGTGGGTTAGCAAGTGGGTGAGCGAGTGAGTCTCTCACCGCTGAGCTGAGCGGAAACCTTGGCGTTCTAAACAAACGCAAAATGGCTCCCGCCGCCGGGCGCCGATGCATCCTGGGAAGGGGAGGCCCCCTTCGTCGGGGAAGTGAGTTTGGCTGTCGGGCGGCAGGAAACAAAACCAGAGAGCGGAGCGACAGGCGTGAGGAACGCGGAGTCTCGCGTCGGCCGGGTCGGTCACCCGGAAAATAAACCCTCGCTCCGGCACACACCGCACGTCCGGTATACGCCCCGCTCCGGCCGCGGCTACGAACCGGTCGAGTGCCAGAGGTCGCAACCGGGTACTCGATACCCGTACCCTACCCGATACCCGGCTACCCGTACCTGGCCGGGTACGGGTACGGGTAGCCGTTTGCGACCCTGGTGCGGCCGGGTACGGGTAGGCTGTGAGTCACTGGTGAGTCACTGGTGAGTCACTGGTGAGTCACCGTTTGTCACTCATTTCGGGTAGGGTACGGGTACGGATAGGGAATCAAAACCCGTTTGCGACCTCTGTCCAGTGCCGCCCACTGCATTTTACCAGCGACCCGGTGAACAAACGGCGAGGCGCGAAACCCCGGTGAAGGTGACCCACGGAATACCGCGCGCCGAGTTCTGCCGATGCGTGGCCGTGCTGCCCGCGGCGGCGGTGGTGCCGTACCGGCCACGGCCTTGCTCCGCTGGCACGCCTCCGCGGCGAGGGCGCACGACATGCTGATGATGCGCTCCTGCTCCTGCACGTGCGCCTCCACCTTGCCCTGCGCCACCTCGCGGCTCGCCGGCGACGGCAGCGGCGCCACGTTCTGCACGCTGGCGACGCGGAGGGGGGCGGGGCAACGTGATGGTGGGCGGGCGGTCGCGGTGGTCCGCGGTTTGAAACCGGAAGGCGGCCCCGGTTAATACTGTGAAGCGTCGTGACGCGTGTGCGTTCAAGTTCAAGTTCATTTATTATGTATAGCCCTGTGAGCCATTCGGCTCTTGAATCGGGTGCAACCGCAACAAACAAAAAAACCAAAAACATGAACAAGAAAACATCTTTAAGTGACTATGTGACTAAGTGCAAACAGAAAATCCAAGAAAAGACAGCAAAATATTGCAGAAAAAACACCGTACACCAACGCTGTGTGCAAAAATCCCAGTGGGATGCAAGTCAAACAACAACAACCACAAGACAACTTAGATTAAGGCCATCAGTCTAACTCTGTACTACAACAAACAAACATGGACAAACCGAAAAACTGTTCGAAAATCACCAAAGTAAAGCCATAAAAGCAATGTGACGACACGTGTGCGACAACGCTGTACCTGGACTTGGCGAGCATCGCCTTGATCCGCTCCACGTTCTTCTGCCGCGCCTCCATTTCCAGGGGGCTCAGCGGCTCCTCGGGGTCCTCGTCCACGTAGCGCTCGGGCACCATCACGTGGTGACGAGGGGGGGACACCTGCTGGCCGGGGGGAGGGGCGGGCGGGGGGAGGGGCATAACCGGCTCGTCGTCAACATCATCGCTCCCATTATCAACGGTAACATCATCGTCACCGTCAAATACCGTTGCAAACATCATAACCACGCTCGTTAATACGGTCATCGTCATGGCAATCGTCATCGTTGTCGTAACTACGGTTATCATTGCTGCCTTCGCCATCATCATAGACATAATTATCATTGCTATAATCACAATCATTTTCAACATCACGACAAACGCTACCATTGCCTTTATGGCTGTGATCACCAACAGACACAGAACAATGCTCAGATTCGGATCTCTCTCTCCGTGACCTCCTGCCCGACCTCCGGCTCCTGATTGGAACCCAAAAACCCAGAACTCTCAGCAGCATTTGAAGCATCACCGCCAAGCGCACATCTCTCACCGCCCCAACACCTCCCCCCGCCTCTTCTCACTCACCAACCAGATATATCTCTCAATCCAGACCCGGATCTCCACCCACTGACCTATAACCCTGGACCACCTCTGACCTTGGCCGTCTCTCACCCCTGACCCTCACCGTGTCTCACCCCTGACCCCGGCTGTGTCTCACCTCTGACCCCGGCTGCGTGCCACCCCTATGACCCCGCCATCTCACCACCGACTTTCACCCAGGACGTGGCTGCGTCTCACCTCTGACCCTCACCGTGTCTCACCCCTAACCCCCGGCTGTGTCTCACCTCTGACCCTCACCGTGTCTCACCCCTGACCCCCGGCTGCGTCTCACCTCTGACCCCGGGTCGTAGCTGCCGTCGAGCTCCGTGCCGGCGGTGCGGAGCCGCGCGATCTCCTGCGCCGGCGTCTCGGGCGCCGACGCGTCCTGCACGGCGCGCTCCAACTCGGCGATGTCCAGGTCGTCCTTGCGCTGGCTCACCTTCATGAGCTGCAACGACGCGGCGGCGGTGGTGGTAAGGCAGGCGGATACCACACCGCCACGGCCTCATGGCCCACAGCCTCACCCTCGCCCAGTGTCTCACCCAGTGTCTCACCCAGTGTCTCACCCAGTGTCTCACCCAGTGTCTCACCCAGTGTCTCACCCAGTGTCTCACCCAGTGTCTCACCCAGTGTCTCACCCAGTGTCTCACCCAGTGTCTCACCCAGTGTCTCACCCAGTGTCTCACCCAGTGTCTCACCCAGTGTCTCACCCAGTGTCTTCACCCAATGTCTCATGGCCCACGGGCCTCATGGCCCACCGTCTCGCCATGGTGTCTTCACCGCGATAAAATGTACCATATTTGTTGACGCCAGGCCCACAGAGTGGTAATAACGCGGAAATGGCGGCACCTCAACGGAGCAACGGCGCAAAAATCCACAAAGCCTACACCTCGTGTAACGTGTCGACTGACTGGGATGGCCGTCCTCGCTCTGTGTTACTTTGTACGTGCCATAGGTTGACTGACTGAGATAGACTGGCAGATGCACCACCTGTGCCCCCCGACTGTGCCAACAAACAGACTGTTGGCGGCAAATGCTGCGAGCGAGTAGCAGCACCTATGATGGTCGGCACGGCACACGAGGACATGCCAGCCCCAACCCACACACACACAGGGCACACACACACACAGGGCACGTGCCAGCCCCAACCCACACACACACAAGGCACACACACACACACGGCACGTGCCAGCCCCAACCCACACACACACAGGGCACACACACACACACACAGGACACACACACAGGACACACACACAGGGTACACACACACACAGGGCACACACACACAGGGCACACACACACACAGGACACACACACAGGGCACACACACACAGGGCACACACACACACAGGGCACGTGGCAACCCCAACACACTCACACACACACACACCTGCGAGACGTCCACGGACGCGGGCCGAGCGGGCGACTGCGCCGCCAGGATGGTCCGGCGGTCGAGCGTCATCGTGTGGCCGCGTCGGCGCGGAGCGGCGCGGCCCGACCCCCCCGCGGGGGTCACCGTCGTCGTCGCCGCGTCCCCCCCGCCACCGCCCCCCCCGGCTGCCACCGCCGCCGCCTTCTGGTTGAGCTTGAGCCGCTCCAGTTGCTCCTCAACGCTCATCTTGCCCCGGCCGGCACCGCCCGCGGGACCGCCCGCCGGGTACAGCGCGTCCATCGCGCTCTTGGGCCGCTCCTAGCAATGACGAAGACCACGATGACGATGATGACGGCCACGATGGCGATGATGGCGACGATGATGACGATGGTGGTGACAAACGGGCGACGCTCGCAACGATGAGCAAACGGTCTCAACAATGAGTGACACTCGCAACGATGAGTGACGCTCACAAACAACGAGCGACGCTCACAAACAACGAGCGACGCTCACAAACAACGAGCGACGCTCACAACAACGAGCGGAGCGGCGGGTGGATAGAACGCGCAACTTGCCTTGGCCCCATTCGACTTGGCGCGACGCAGCGTGACGTAGGAGGCGATGGTGGTCGACTGCATCTGTCCCGGCTGGGACAGCGGGGGGACAACTCCGACAAGCGACGTGAAGACTGGGGGAGACAACCACCGCCGCACAGGGACACGTGGGGACACACGGGAGACACAGGGACACACGGGAGACACACAGGGACACACGGGGACACGTGGGGACACGCGGGAGACATGCGGGGACACACGGGAGACACACGATGATGAAACAGGAGGACAAGGAGACCCGGGGGATGCACCGGGTGTGACGACACGCGGACACCTCAGACGCGTGGACACAAGGCCACAGAGACACGCACGTGCACGCAAGGACGCGTGTGAGCGCACGAGCACCAGGACGCACAAGCACGAAGGGGCACGGCGGAAACACACACACACAGGGATGAACGTACGTACGAACATTCACACGCAAATATTTTTTTGGGTCTTTCGGTAAAGTCACGTCGATAGGTTCAAAGAAAATAACTCAAAATAACAAAACAGAAGCGGTGACGACCGCTTGTGTTGCGATGGAAACATCGTAGTTTTTTTGTTATTTCCTTTGAACCTATCGACGTGACTTTACCGAAAGACCCAAAGAATATTAATTCCTGCAGTCAGGAAAGCTTCAGGTCGAGATTCACACACAAGATTCACACGGCCACGCACGCACCGTGACGCACGGGCACCGGGACACGCGCTCGCACGGGGACGCGTGAACGCCAGGGCGGGTGGACACCACGCGGACACCACGCGGACGGGCCGGCGACACCGGGGCGGGGCGAGCCGTCCCACTCGGGGGGACACCGCCCCCACGCTCACCCTTCTGCTGCTGCTGTTGCTGCTGCCGGTCGCTGGAGCCGTTGCTCTTGCCCTGCTGCGGTTGGTGGTGAGCGACCTGCGGCAACACCACACGGCGCTCGCACGGTGAGGCTCCCCCCGCCGCCACGGCCGACGCCTAAACCTCGACCCGACCTCGACCCGACCTCGGTTATAAAAAAACTCGCCCCCAGAGTCTGCGCCTGGCCCTGTCACCGGCCTATTTCTGACCTTGCCGTGACATCTACGCGACCTCGCCGTGACCTCTGTGTGTGACTGTGCCTGACCTCCGCGATTATTTCTCTCTCTCAGTAGTGATGACAACGGGTATGGTGACTATGATGATGGTGACTATGACGATGGTTACTATGACGATGGTTACTATGACGATGGTTACTATGACAATGGTGACCTTGACGATGGTTACTCTGACGATGGTGACCATGACGACGGTGACTATGACGGTGGTTACTATGGCCATAGTTACTATGACCATGGTTACTATGACCATGGTTACTATGACCATGGTTACTACGACGATGGTTACTATGGCGCTGGTGACTATGACGACGGTGACTATGACGGTGGTTACTATGACGATGGTTACTATGACTATGGTTACTATGACCATGGCGACGACGCCGCCGCCCCCGGCCCGTACCTTGGCGTCGCCGTTGGTGAGTTGCTCTCCGGACGCGCCGCCAGCGTAGGGCGACCCCCAGCTGCTGCCCGCGAGCGCCGGCCGCGCCGAGCCGTAGCTGCCGTAGCTGTCGGGCAGCGGAGGCCGCGGCGGCGTCGCCTCCCGTCTCTGCGCACGCGCGGCGACGACGGGGGGCGAGAGACGGACACGGACGGTCGGCCACTTGGCCCCGCAAACAGCCCCCCCCCCGGCAGCAGCGGTCACCGCATTGCCGCTGGCGCTTGCAGATCGCGCTTCTGCGGCCGTCTGTGTGTGCGTGGGAATGTGTGCTCTTCGTCGGGTAGGAGGAAGCGACTGGGAGCTGCGCCGCACCTTTTAATCATCTCGTTTCTATAGAACGGCTCGTCACGCGGCGGTGAGCCACTTCGTTGAGCTATCGTTCGCGATGGCCGGCTCGCTTCCCAAAGAGCAGCTGAATCGATCAGTTGGGCCTAATTGCTATAATAAAAATCACTTTTTTTTTGTGATTTGTCCACCTCTGCTCTACTTTGCACTCGTGCCGCGTGTTCGTACCGTTTGCCGTTGACATGTTCTGACCCCGCGGGGGGCGCGTTAACTGGCCGACCGTGAAAAAAGGTTCATAATGGCCGCCGGGGGGACACCGCCCCCATGCGAGAGAGAGAGAGAGAAGGTTCATAATGGCCGCAGAGCCAACACTGCCCAGAGCCCGAATTTGAGTCCTGGGTCTGGGTGCCTGTCTCTCTCTCTCGTGGGGATCAGACAGCGGCGTAGCTGACGAGTGTGCAGGCGGTGTAACCGCACGGCGGCGCCCTGCGGAGCCTCACCAGGGAGGAGCGGAGGGGCGAGTGGGGTCCCACGGCTCGTGGGGGGCTTCCCGAGGGGTCCCGGGCGAGGTGGGGGTGACCGCTGACACCTGTGCGGGGACAAGACACGTCGTCAGCATCGTCGTCGTCATCGTCGTCATCGTCATCCTCGTTATCGTCGTCGTTATCGTCATCGTCATCCTCGTTATCGTCGTCGTTATCGTCGTCGTCGTCATCTGTCATCGTATCGTCGTCGTGATCGTCATAATCATCGTCATCATCATCATCGTCATCGTTATCGTCGTCATCGTCGTAATCATCGTCGTCATCATCATCGTTATCGTCGTAATCGTCGTCATCATCGTTATCGTCGTAATCATCATCGTCATCTTCATCGTCGTCATCGTCATTAGCCAAGTCATCATTTCCAGAGTCATCGTCATCAACACAATCAGCAGCAGCAATAACAACAGTCACCACTCCGATCATCAGCAGCTACATCATAACTCCAATCATCATCATCATCAGCAACACTCCTGTCAGTTTCAGCTACATCCAATCACCACCATCAACACCATCATCATCATCCTCCTGCAGTACCGAGAAGAGACATGACGAGGATAAGAGAATGACGATGGTGACAACGATGACCATCACGCGGATGTGACCATCACGCGGACGCCCATAATGATGGCGGCGATGATGACGACGATGACGGCGATCTCTCCGGGCCTCACCTGATCCCACGGGGGCCCCCCCCGCGGTCGTCACGTCCCAGCTGCCCTGTCCCAGCCCCCCCATCACATCCTGGATCCGCCACAAGTCCCTCTGCACCTGCGCCCGCTGCTGGTGACCCACTTCAGTCTGGCGGAGAGGGGGGGGGGGGGTGAGGAGTCATGTGACACGGGGGGCGGTAGTAGTCACGTGACCCTTGGGTCAACAGGGGCGGCCGTAGCAGTCACATGGCATGGGGGGGGGGGTCACATGGCAGGGATCAAGCGATCCGACAAGACATGGGGAAAGCGAAGAGCTCGCTTGGTAAGTGCAGGTGAGCTCACCTGGTGCGTGCAGGTGAGCTCACCTGGGCGAGGAGGAGGCCATACCTGTGTGAAGCTGAGCCGGCTCAGGAGGTCCTCCAGATGGACCCTCAGGGCCAGGAGGTCCGACTCCAGCTGCTTGTACTCGCTCACCGAGCGCTCCAGATCCTGGCGGCACCAAGAGGAAGGGGGGGCGTCACCGCGGCAACAGCACGACAGTTCAAGCGTCTCACGGTGGCGAGGAGATGTCGACTACCTCGCCTGGTACGCGGGAGGTCGTGGGTTCGATCCCGACCCTGACGCCTGCTGCTGTTTATTTGGAGTTTGCGTGTCTCTCTCTCTCTCATCATCATCAGGGTGGCTAGGAGATGTTGACTACCTCGCCTGGTGTACAGGAGGTCGCGGGTTCGATCCTGACCCTGACGCCTGCAGCTGTATATTTGGAGTTTGCGGTGTCTCTCTTGATTTTTCCCCGGGTCCTTCGGTATTTCCCTCCACATTTAAAAGCGGACATCGCGCGTTTGGAGAGTATTTGGCTGCTGCTCTGAATGTCCACGTGATAAGCCACCGCCTTGAGCTATCACTTGTGGCCAGGTCGCCTCTGATTGGGTGGGGCATGGGAGGGACGGGGGGGGGGGGGATGGGTGGGTGGGAGGATGGGGGGGTGAGGGGATGGGGAGATGGGGGGTTGAGGGGATGGGGGGATGGGGGGATGGGTGGGTGGGGGGATGGGGTGTGGCGGTCCCTCTCACCAGGCTGAGCCGGGCGCTGTCTGCACGGATGTGCACCAGGTCGGCCTGCAGCCGCTGCTGCTGCTCGTGCAGCAGCTCGGGCTGCGAGCGCCGCTGGGCGATCTGCAGGTGCAGCCCCTCCAGGGACGACTCGATGCGCGCCTGCGCCGACACGCACGCACACACACGCACGCATGCACACACACGCACGCACACGCACGCACACGCACGCACGCACGCACACACACGGGTACACGCACGCACACACACACACACGCACACACACACGCACGCACACACACGCACGTACGCACACACACGCACACGTTCCCACTCACACACGTACGCACGCACGCACACACACGCACGCACACGCATGGACGCACACACGCACAAAGATAAAGATGCCTTCCATCCACCCAGGTAGCCTTCGCAAGCTGTCGGGGCAAGTGCCGTCACGGCGAGTAGCGTCGCCACGTCTCCCCACTGCTGATGATTACACATCGCACAGAGTACTCATTTCAGGCCGAGTCGACCTCGGTGCGGCCCAGGACCGGTTCAGATAACCTTCGTCAGCGATGCAGGCTTTGAGCGGGAATTGAACTCGGGTATGAAGGCCACCACGTGTGGGTGGGTGGTTGGCCAGCATCACGCGCGCTACAAAGACAAATATCCCCCGTGTAGCTTTAACAGACTGTTGGGGCAAGTGCTGTTAGCGAGCACCTATGAAGGCTGGCACGGCACACGAGGGGGTGGGTGGCCAGCACCAATCCCGGCCGCCTTTGTCTCCCCAGTGGCGATGTTTACTATACACCGCACCAGGTACTCATTTGAGGCCGAAGTCGACCTAAGCAAGGCCCAGCACCCGGTCCAGATAATCGTCACCGGTGTTGGCCGTGAGCGTGAATCGAACTCGGGTCGCCGGATTCGTAGCGCAGCGTAGCGCGAAACCCACCACGACACGGTGACCTCACCTCACCACCGTCACCTCACCTCCTCACCATGGTGACCTCACCTCACCACCGTCAACTCAACTCCTCACCATGGTCACCTCACCTCCTCACCACGGTGACCTCACCTCCTCGCCACGGTGACCTCACCTCCTCACCACGGTGACCTCACCTCCTCGCCATCGTGAGCTCACCTTCTCGTTGCGCAGCTGCCTCAGCCTGGTCTCCTGCTCGTGCAGCGTCTTGTTCTGGTCGCACAGCCGCGTCAGCTTCATCTGTCGCAGACGCAACACACAAAGATCACACAAAGATCACCCCCCCCGCCAGCCCAGTGGAGGCCTTCTACAGACCGCTGGGGCAAGTGCCGCTCACGGCCACAGACACACACACAGACACACACACGCAGACACACACGCAGACACACACACACGCAGACACACACACACAGACACACAGACATAGACACAGACAGACACACACAGAGACACATACAGACACACACAAACACAGACACACACACAGACAGACACACACAGACACAGACACACAGACACGCAGACACACACACAGACATACACACAGACAGACACACACAGAGACACATACAGACACACACAAACACAGACACACACACACACAAACAAAGATCCCCTGTATAGCCTCAGCAGACTGTTGGGGCAAGTGCCGTTAGCGAGCACCTATGAAGGCCGGCACGGCACACAAGGAGGGTGGGTGGCCAGCACCACGCCCGGCCGCCTTTGTCTCCCTAGTGGCGATGTTTACGCACCGCACTCCATACACATTTGAGGCTGAGTCGATCTAGGGGAGGCCCGGGACCAGTTCAAATAATCATCACCGGCATTGGCCGTGAGCGGGAATCGAACCCGGGTCTTCAGGTTTGGAGCGCAGCGTAGGTACTCATTTGAGGCTGAGTCGACCTAGGAGGAGGGGTGGGGGAGTGGAAGCGGTGGGGGGCGAGGGGGGGGCGTCGATGCGCTCGGGAACTCACGTCGATGTCCTGCCCGCTGGAGCGGAGCGAGTAGTTCGATTCTGGGAACACAAACTGGAAACACAAATACGGGGGGGCGGGGTGGGGGCAACGCGCACACAGACGCACACACAGACACACACAGACGCACACAGACACACACACACACAGACGGACACAGACACGTCATCCCAGTTAGCAGCTCCCCCGCGGGCGGGCGCTGCGCGAGGCGGCACGAGGCCCCTGACGGTACACAGATGCCGGCGGCTTTGTCCACCGTTGTTTCACCCACCCACTCACCCACACTCACCAATCCACACACACCCATTCACCCACTCACCCCCCCACCCACCCACCCACACACACACACGCACCCACCCACACACACACCTGCACTCACCCATACACCCACTCACTCACCCACTCGCCCACAAACACACACACACCAACCCACCCCACCCACCTACACACCCACCCACACACACGCACCCACACACACGCACCAACCCACCCCACCCACTCACCTGCACTCACCCACTCACCCACCCACACACACGCACACACACACGCACACACGCACCCACCCACCCACCCACGCATGCTAATGCACGTGTAGTGACATGGAATGGGTCACTACGGAGCATGGCGCTGGTAGCTGGCAGAGAACGGGATCTGCGGTGGCAGCAGCCCTGTCTGTCAGCGGGTCACGTGACAAGCCAGAGAGAGGCATGTAGGGCAGAGGTGACAGAGGGGGGGGCACGTGAGGTGAGCCCAGGAACCTTCTAGTAGGTTCGAGACGGGGGGGGGGGGCGTGGTCGGGGCGGAGCGAGGCCAGGCTAGGAGGATAAAAGGGGACCCCCCGAGCGAAGGTTCGGGGCTGTCGCTGTGAGTGGGATCCCCTCGACGTGCCGACGACGTCTCCGTCTGCGTCTTCACCGTCTCGGCATCGTCTGCCCGCTGTCCTGACTTGTAGTCACCTTAGCAACCTGTGAAGGCTGTTACTAAATAGTGTGCCTCCTACTGTCTCCGAGTGAGTCAGTCACTACACAAGGACACCAATAGCAGTGGACACCCAACTTAGCGGACACAACGCTAATCCCCACACAACGAGCACACACACACACACCATTGTACGATGCACAACACAGACAATCGGTGAGAATCACACACAAACGCATGGCGACGCTCACACACGGTGACGCACGGTGACGCTCACACCCCATCTCCTCGCTCACACACGGTGACGCTCACACACGGTGAGCTCACACACAGTGACATGTGCGTGGTTTTGCCGCGCGTGCATTCCGCGGGGAGCGCCGTGCTTACTTGCGGCCGGAACGGGAGCGAGCGGCAGCAAATAATCGTCTGCACCGTGTTAATTAGCGGCTCGTTAGCCTTCATCTTGGAACGGCGTAGGACGGGAGAGAGCAGGGAGCAAACACAGGGTTAGTAACGGACACAGAGACACGGAGACGACACGGAGACACTGGGACGGACGCACATGTGAAGAGACACAGAGACACTGGGACGTATACACTGGGACAGAGACACTGGGACAGAGACACTGGGACGGAGACACAGGGACACAGAGACACTGGGACACGGAGACTCGGAGGAAGTGAGCAAGGCAAGGAAGCGGGTCAGGTGGTCTCAGGGAAGATGGAGGCTTGACGCAAATAAAACGCTGCAAAGGAAATAAAAAAACCTGAAACAGCGAGGAGCGGTGAGAACGACGACGACGACGACGACGACGGCAGGCGGGCGGGCAGGGACATCGTCACGAGCGGGGCAGGGAATGGGTGGGGGAGGTTTCATTTGTTGCCAAATATTTTTCTGCGCCGCTTGCCGTTAACGCCGCGATCTCGGCGGCAAGCAGCCAATCACAGCCGCCCCCTCAGCCCCCCAACAAGGGGGGCTGAGGGGGGGGCTGGATGTGGTGGTAACAGCCTCAACGAGGCCGCTGGGGCAAGCGCCGCTAGCGGCAGCAGCGCCTGGGAAGGCCGGCACTACGGCGCATGAGCTGGATGGGTGGCACCACCACCACCACCACGCCCGGCCGCCTTTGTCTCCCTCACCCCCCCGTCCCCCAGTGGGAGTATTTTCCGACCCAGCCAGACCCGGCGGGGGGCGGCGGCGCTATCGAGCTTGCGCGACCCCGCCGTTCGTGACCCTCTGGTGACGACGTGGGGCGGGGGGAGGGGGGGGGCGGGCGGGTGGGGGGGTAACGACACGACGGGGTAAAGGGGTAACGCGGCCGCAGCAACACAACGTCAGGCATGCGACAGAGCCCCGAGTAGCCTAGCGGCGCAGGTGGCGTGGGCCCCCCTCCACCCCCCCCCCCTTCATCAGCCCGGCACCTGGGCCTCTCCTGCGAACTCGCGACGTCAGCTCCCGCCGTCTGACCACGGCCTTCGTGAACCCTCGCCAGAGTGACGCCCAGTCCCAGGGTCTCGACAGTGCCGCCGTCCAGGATAGAGTGGGCCCCCCCCCACCCCCCCAGGGCGGTCGGCCCGCCCTGCACACGCCACCCACAGCTACGCCGCTGGGCCACTGGGGAGCTACCGGGCAGGGGGGGGGTGACGGCACTTGACGAGGCACGGGACGAGGCACGGGACGAGGGGGCACCGTGCGGGTAACGAGGTGACGATGGGACTGGGGGGCGATGGATGGGGGGGGGGGGGTACTGGCTGCAACCATGGGGAGAGTGGGGGCCATGCAGGTGGGAGATGATGGCGGTGGCGGTGGTGATGATGATACCGATGCTGACACTGCTACTGTTTCTTGTTGTTGGTGTTGTCAATGGAAGATGATTGCTGCTGCTGGTGATCTGTGTGCTGCTGGTGACAATGATGCTGCTGGTGAGGATGGCAGTGGTGGTGGTGGTGAGGATGGCAGTGGTGGTGAGGATGATGATGGTGAGGATGGTGGTGGTGGTGAGGATGGTGGTGAGGATGATGCTGGTGGTGGTGGTGAGGATGATGATGGTGGTGGTGGTGAGGGTGGTGGTGAGGATAGTGGTGAGGATGATGCTGGTGGTGGTGATGAGGATGATGGTGGTGGTGAGGATGGTGGTGGTGGTGAGGATGGTGGTGAGGATGATGCCATACTGCCCCACCTGGCTCTCAATAAAGCGCAGGTTCCTCTGCAGGTGCAGCGACGGTGCCAACGACTGCGCAGGCAGGGGCACGGGGGAGGCGTGGGTGGCACAGCGGAGACACGGGTGGCGAGCGCGGTGAGCGTGGCGAGGGAGTGCGGTGAGAGTGGTGCGTGGTGGTGTGTGGGAGGGTGGTGTGTGTGTGTGGTGTGTGTGTGTGGTGTGTGTGTGTATTGTGGGTAGTGTGTGTGTGTTCTGGGTAGTGTGTGTGTGTTGTGGGTGGTGTGTGTGTTGTGGGTAGTGTGTGTGTGAAATACGATGTAAGGGGTAGCGCATGTGTTGTGAGTGGGGCATGTATTATGTGTGGGTAGCGTATGTCGAGACTACGGAGTATTAAGCGTGTGTCTAGCGCCGAGGCAGTGTCTCGATCCTGCACCTCGTGTGCGTGTCGAGCACGTGGCTAGCGTGACGCTAGCGTGTCAGCCGTGCGCCTGTCGCGCCCTCGTTCCCACCTGGCGCCCCATCCCCACGCCCCCCGTGACCTCCAAGATCCCCGTATGACCCCGTGACTCCCCGTGTGACCCTCCGTGACTCCCCGTGTGACCCCCCGTGTGACCCCCCCGCGTGACCCCCCATGACCTCGTGACCCCCCATGTGACCCCGTGACCCCCCGTGTGACTCCCCTTGTGACCCCCCGCGAGACCTCGTGCCGGACCTGTGACCGCGGCGCGGCCGGCGCCGGGCCCAACAGGTGCGCGAGCGTGCGGTCCCTCGCTTCGGCAAGCACCGCCTGGTTTCTCCGCAGCTGGATGAGCAGCAGGGTCAGCTCCTCTGGCTGCGCCCAACCACCGCCACCACCACCACCACCACCACCGCCGTCGCCGCCATCGTCATCGTCGCCGCGTCAGCATCATCAACGCCGCCATCGCCGCACAAACGGAGGAACATGGGCCGCCACCCCGTTACCATCGCCCCGGCGTTAAGTCGACCCCGTTAGCGGCACTGCCGTGGACGCGCCGACCAGCCGGCTGCCGCCGCCGCCGCCGGCTGGCGCAGCAGTCGGGCGGGGCGAGAGCGGTTTGACTCGCCGTCGGAAGGAAAGGTCAAGAGGTCAATGTACGTTGAACTTCTTTTGCGAAGGGTGGGAGGGCGTGGGGGTGAGCGGCGAGGGTGAGCGTGGAGGGTGAGCGTGAGGGTGAGCGTGATGGTGAGCGTCGGGGAGAGCGGGGACGGTGAGCGTGGGGGTGAGCGGCGAGGGTGAGCGGCGAGGGTGAGCGTGGGGGTGAGCGGCGAGGGTGAGCGGCGAGGGGGAGCGTGGGGGTGAGCGGCGAGGGTGAGCGGCGAGGGTGAGCGTGGGGGTGAGCGGCGAGGGTGAGCGGCGAGGGTGAGCGTGGGGGTGAGCGGCGAGGGTGAGCGGCGAGGGTGAGCGTGGGGTGAGCGGCGAGGGTGAGCGGCGAGGGTGAGCGTGAGGGTGAGCGGTGGGGGTGAGTGGCGAGGGTGAGCGTGGGGGTGAGCGTGGGCGTGTGTCTCACCGTGCGGCCCTGCAGGCTGGGCGGGATGGACTGTGGGGTGGACGTGTACACCATGGATGGCATGGGCCTCCTGTCCAGCGTCTGCGTGCCCTGCGAGACCGTGGGGACAGACAGACAAGCGGCCAGACAGCCAGCCAGTTAGACAGCCCAACAGACAGACAGCCAACCAGTTAGACAGCACGATAGACAGACAGCCCAACAGACAGCCCAACAGACAGCCCAACAGACAGACAACCCAACAGACAGACAGACAGCCCGACAGACAACCCAACAGACAACCCAACCGACAGACAGACAGACAGCGCCCTACGTGTGTGGGGGGGGGGGGCCGTACCCGCGCTCCGTAGCCGTGGCTGAACTCGGCGCCGCGTTGCCGGTGTGGCCCCGCCAGCGGCAACGCGGCGTGGCGCGCCGCCGGGGGGGCGGCCGCCGCCACGTCCACCCGCCCGGCGGGCGCGTGTGACCTCCGGTGTCCGGGCGACCTCTCGCTGCGCGACCTGGCCCGCGTGACCCCGTACGACCCCGCGGCGTCGCCGCCCGCCCCGTAGGCGGCCCCGTCGCTCTCGTCCACCTCGGCCATGCTGTAGAGCGTCGGGGGGCTGCTCACCGCAAACCGGTGGAGCGCGGACGACGCGCCGGGCGGCGCCGGGCCTGGCGGAGGGGGGGGGTGATGCGGGATCGAGCGTGAGACACGCGAGTTCGGCGGGTGGAGAGCACCACGCCGCCCAGCGGCGATGTCTCATTTGAGGCCGAGTCGACCTAGGGGAAGGGCCCGGCAGCGGTTCAGACGATCGTCACCGGTGGTGTTGGTGGCCGTGAGCGGGAATCGAACTCGGGTAGCTGGGTTCGTGGCGCGGAGCGCGCTAACCGCTACGCCACCACTCCTCACAGCACGCGGACACGCAGAGACACGCGGACAGAGACACGCGGAGAGAGACACGCGGAGACAGATACGGAGACACGCACACATCCACAGAGACACGCGGAGACACACAGAGACACACCAAGACACACGGAGACAGATAGACACACAAGGACACACACGGAGACAGATAAGACACACAAACACGGATACACGCGCACGGAGACACGCACACATCCACAGAGACACGCGGAGACACACACAGAGACACACGGAGACAGATAGACACACAAACACGCGCCCGGAGACACGAGGAGACACACGGACACAGATAGACACGCAAGGACACACACGGAGACACACGCCGGAACGCCCAGCGCTCACGTACTGTGCCCTCCGTGCCGCAGCACCTGGCGCTGCCGCCACTCGAACAGCTCCGAGACCACGTCGGCGGAGGGGCCGTGCCCCCCGGCGGAGCCCCCCGCCCCCCCGCCGGCCCCGTACGGCACGGCGGGCCCAGCGGCCCCGCCGGGCGGGCGGCGCGACAGGGAGGAGGAGGCGGCGGCCGCGGCGTGGCGAGGCAGCGAGGTGTAGCCGTCCGGGTAGGGGGCGCCCACCACCACCAGCGACTGGCGGTAGCTGGGCATGGACCGGGGCAGCGTCTGGGTGGACGCGATGCTGCGGGGGGGGGGGAGGGGGGGGGAGGAGGAGAGGGAGGGAGGGAGAGGAGGATGGAGGGGGTCAGGGCCCGTTCCTTGCTCGAGGTTTCACAGACTCACCGCTGCTGCCTGCAGGGTTCACACAGCCACACGTGGCCATCCAGGGCGTCGTGCCATTTCCCCACCGTCCCCCCCCATCTCGTCTCTCACCATCCTCCACCCCCTCCTCTCCACCCCCTCCCCTCCACCTCCTCCCCTCCACCCCCTCCCCTCCACCTCCCATCTTCACCCCCCCTCCTCCTCCACTCCCTGTCACCAATCCTTGAGCCGCTCCCCCCCACCCCTCCTCTACCCCCCCAAGCCCCCCCCCCCCACCGCACCCCGGCGTCTCCCTCACCTCAAGCGGTCTCCCTCATTCTTCTCCTTTTGCGACTGCATCCACTGCTCCAGCTGCACCATCGAGTTGCGCTTCTCCCTCTCGCGCTCCCTCTCAAGCGCCACCGCCGCCACCGCCCGGTGGCCCTCGCCGGCGCCGCCCGCCGCCCCGTAGCCAAACCCGTCCTGGTCGAGCGCCGACAGGCTGCTGCTGCCGGCAAGCCCCAGGCCGCCCGTGCTGTGTCGCTGCAGCTGCTGCTGCTGCTGCTGCAGCAGCGGCCTCTGCTGCGGCCGCGGCTGCTGCTGCTGCTGCTGCGGGTTCGGGTGACGTAGAACCACGCAGGACGTCGCCGCCGCTTCCGGCCGTGAGATCGCGGCGCCGGCGGTCGGGCGATCGGCGGCCTCCGCGGGCGTGCGGCCGGGGCCCGCCGACGGGTCAAACCTCTCGTCGCCGTCGTCGTCGTCCCGCTGCTCCGCGGCCGCCCCCCTCTCGTCGTAGCCGTCGTGCAGCTGCCTCCGGAGCTCCTCCGCAGCCGCCTCCGCCGCAGCGACGCCGCTGTCATCGTCACCGCCGTCATCGACGTCGTCGTGGTCGTCGTCGGCGCGGGTCGCGACCGACGGGCCGGCAAACGACGTGACGGCCTCGACCTCCGCGTCGTCGTCGTCGTCCGTGCTGGCCCGCGGGCGAGCCAACCCCTCCTCCGTCACGATCTCCACGTCGCCGCGCGGTCCGCCCCGTTCGTCCTCGTCGTTTCCGTCGTCGCCGCCGTCGGAGCGCGGCGGCCGCCACCGGGCCAGCGCCGGCGCCCCACGGAGCCCGTCGGCGAGCACCTGCCCCCCCCCCGCCTCCTCCTCCTCCTCCGCCGCTCGCCCGCGGGAGTGGTTGACGGCGCTCGCCGGTTTATCGTCCGCGCCGTCGCGCAGGCTGCTGCTGCCGCCGCCGCCGTCGCTGTTGCTGGGAGGGAGGGGGTAGACAGCGTGAGACGTGGCGGTGGCTGGGAGATGTCGACTACCTCGCCTGGTACGCGAGAGGTCGTGGGTTCAACCCCGACTCTCTCTCTCTCTCTCTCGTCTGTGGGTCACGTGGATTTTTCTCCGGGTCCTCCATTTTTTTTCCCTCCACATTTAGAATCGATAACACAGGTAATTTTTTGGGGTGAGATCGCGTAAATATATAAATGTGTCGTTAAACCCGCCGCCACCCGACACAGCCAACTAGTAAGGGTTGTCACGTAAACAGAACGTGCCAATTCGTCGCTAGTACAGCACTAACCAGTTGTGTGTTGGAGAGCCAAGCCACAACATTTACAATCTGAGTAGTGCGACGTTTCGCCAGTAATTACAACCAGCTTCATCAGGCGACAGCCACATTTGTGGAGAAGTCCACCACCTGTTTCGTTCCTTATATAGAGGCGTGGATGTGGTGACCACACTTCTGCACTCTTGCGGAAAGTGGAGGGGGGGGGGATTACCGAGTCAACGTAAAAGCCTACGCGTCAAACTGATATAAATGTGGCGTTGAACCCACCAGCCAACCGACACAGCCAATGAGCAAGGGTTGTCACCTAAATTGACGGTTTAGAGTAGATGGCTTGCGAGAAATGTTCACGTGACGATAAGCCACTTCGTTGAGCTATCGTGGCCACTTCGTTGTGAACCCCCAGGCGGCGTACACCCTGCACCACCCTGCACCACCCTACACTACCACCCTGCCCCACCCTGCACCACCCTGCGCTACCCTGCACCACGCTACCGCCAGAGTTGCCACCGTGGGCCGTGCCGACTCCGCACGATCGAGCCGATGTGGACGGCAAAGGAGCTATAAATGACCATCACCACGCAACACTCTCTGGCCCATCCTCGCAGAAGCAGCAGCAGCAGCTGCAGCTTTTGGCTCAGACGTCAAAAAAAGGGGGTTGGTCACCGCATCGTCGTCGTCGTCGTCGTCACGCGGCACTTTCAGAGGCGCTTCGGCGGCCGTCTGGAACGTTCTTCCATTCCGTTATTGGGAAGCCGCTGGAGCTACGCAATTTTAAATCGTCGTCATCATCATCAAGAATGACAAACTCATTTCTTGTGTAGAGGTTGCTGTCCTTCCCGCGCACCTCCGATTAGCACGGTTGGCTACGTACGGTGCGAAAGAAGTTCAACATACATAGACTCACACAGAGACCCATAGACTCACACAGAGACCCATAGACTCACACAGAGACCCATATACTCACACAGAGACCCATAGACTCACACAGAGACCCATAGACTCACACAGAGACCCATAGACTCACACAGAGACCCATATACTCACACAGAGACCCATAGACTCGCACAGAGATCCATAGACTCACACAGAGACCCATAGACTCGCACAGAGACCCACAGAGACCCGTAGTTTGACGTCCTTCCCGCGCACCTCCGATTAGCGCGGCTGGCTACGTACGGCGCGTTCAACGCGCACAAACGCACGAGGGGGAGGGAGGGGGGGGGTTGGAGGGGAGGAGGCGTCTCACCCCTGCGGGATCTCCATCTGCAGCTGCGACGCCTGCGCCATCGCCTTCATCCACACGCGCATCTCCTCCAGCGAGTCCGCGCCGAAGTAGTAGGTGCGCATGCCGGCGTGCCGCGCCTGCCACGGCACACGAGTCAAGTGGCGCCCCCCCCCTGACGGCTTCTCGTGCCTCTGGCTCGGAGGCCCGGCCTGGGGAGGGAGGGGGGCGGGAGGGGAGGGGAGGGAGAACAGAGCAGACAGACAGGCACGCACGCAGACAGGCACGCACGCAGACAGGCACGCACGCAGGCACGCACGCAGACACGCAGACAGGCACGCACGTACGCAAGCACGCACGCAGGCAGGCATGCAGACACTCACGCAGGCAGGTAGATACGCACGCACGCAGGCAGGTAGATACGCACGCACGCAGGCACGTACGCAGACACGCAGACAGGAGCACGCACATGCACGCAGATACGCACGCAGACACGCACGCAGACACGCACGCAGACACGCACGCAGACACGCACGCAGACACGCACACAGACACACGCAGACGCGCACGCATGTACCCACGGGACAAACGCACGCAAACGAAACATGCGGACACGCAAACACACGGGCGAATATTCGCACGCACGCACAAACCAAACGCACGCACACACACACACGCACGTCGATTAGTTCCAGGTCATCTCGTCGCTTCGCATCGCTCACGTGACGTCACCCTGCTTCCCGCTGCGAGCGTTGGCGTCATCGCTGCGAGCGTTAGCCCTTGAGCAACGGGAACAACGCTGCATTATAACACAGCCAGCGGCGTTATAACCCAGTCAGCTGCGTTATAACCCAGTCAGCTGCATTATAACCCGGCCAGCTCCGTTATAACCCAGCCAGCGGCGTTATAACCCGGCCAACTGTGTTATAACCCGGCCAGACTTTAACAGCGCGAACTCCGTTGTGATTGCATTTCCCGTTTTTGCCTGCATTGCTTTGATGCATTCGAAGTAACAGCGAAGTGTAACTTCACTGTTGCAGTTGTATTCGTCTGGCATTTAAATTATGACATAAAAAAAAAAGCCACACACAAACTTTGCGTGAATGCGTGTGTGTGTGTGTGTGTACGTGAATACAAACATCACACGCGTGTACACAAGTGCGTATTTGTTCGCATGCAAGCGAGGCTTTCCAGAACACCAAAATCCCATCGTAAATATACGTTTATCAATGTAATTGATTCAATGAAAGACCGTAATAATAGCCATTGTTATCTACTGCTCGTTTGCCAATCCACTGCTGGATGAAGGCCTCCCCATGCCGTGTCAGCCACGGGGGTTGTTTGACCATACTTCACCGCTCTGGAAAGCCTCGGCCCAGCGAGTCTCTTCCTCAGGGGGGGTCCCTGCCCCCCAACCTGATTGGCCAACAGCTTCCTCCGGAGTAGCTCAGCTTTGCTTTTTTTTTAGTTTTAGCCCCGTGCGATAACACGCAGGTTAACTCGTTTAAAAACATAAAATTCGACGCGAGCATTTACTCCCGTCGGCTTTTAACCACGTTTTCTAAACGTTTTTTTTTTAAATCGACGTATGGCACACGTCAATAATTTCCGCCTTCGAAAAAACAAATCGCCGCCGGTTTCAACTCCGTTGGAGACGAGAGAGAGCGGCGCATCCGCCAGGCGGAAGGTGGCATCCCACAACCGCTCACGAGATCCAACGCTCGTTATCCCAACACGCCCTCGGCGAACGCACGGACATTTTCATCCGAAAAGCCGAGGAGCTGATTTGGGCCAAAAACAAACGCGGCAGGAATCCCCCACCACCCCACCCCCTCCATCCCCGACTCCACGCGACCCCGAGCCCGACCGTGCGGGCGCGTACCTTTGTCCGGCGAGCCAAGCCGCCTTGCGAGCGAGCGGCTCGCAAGGCCGGAGGGGTTGTTAAAGGAGCGGCGGCCCAGCCGAGAAGACCCCCAGAGAGGCACGGAGAGGAGGAGGAGGAGAGAGCCAACAGCCAGAGTTCCCAGAGTTCCCAGGAGGTCACGCGGCACGGACAGGAGGGGGGGGGGGGGGACACCAGGACGCAGGGTCGGCAACACATCGACGACGGTGATGCGCGCACAAGTAGCCAGCCAGGCCCCCATCGCACCCAGCCCCCCCATCACACCCAGGCCCCCCATCGCACCCAGGCCCCCCATCGCACCCAGGCCCCCCATCGCACCCAGGCCCCCCATCGCACCCAGGCCCCCCCGCGTCGTCTAACCGCACAGCGGCGGTTTCTCAAACTCGGGGGCAAAACGACGTCGCCACGGTGGTCAAACGCGGGCGACGCGCCGTGCCGTTACTACCGCGACACAACGCCGAGACGCAGCGTCGCTTTGCGAACAACGCGCAACGCCGATCGTTATAACAGTCTAGACGTGTGGCGGGGGGGATGGAGCTATCCAGGATTTCTCAAAGTCCACACACACATTAATACCACACACACACACACATTAATACCACACACACACACACATTAATACCACACACGTGAATACCACACACACATTAATACCACACACACACACACATTAATACCACACACATTAATATCACACACATTAATACCACACACACACACATTAATACCACACATACATTAATACCACACACACACTCATTAATACCACACACACACACTAATACCATACACATACACACTAATACCACACCCACACACACTAATACCACACACACACACACGTGAATACCACACGCGCTACGTGAGCGAGGGGACAGCGTGAGCGGCATGGCGGGCAAGCTGTCGCACCCCCCCGCACCCTCCACCCGAGCCCCCCACCCTGCCCACCTGAGCAAGGTGTTAGTGAGCGCGCGGCAGGGAAATCCGTTAGTGGGCGGGCGGTCGAAAAGTTAGCGAGCCGAACAAAGACGATTCGTCCGTTAGTAAGAAAGAGAAACAAACCCCCGCTTCCGTGCAACGGCGAGCACACCACACGTACACTGGCATGCCGCATCCGAGAACACAAACCACACGTGACCAGCGGCCACTTAAAACGATGGTGAATATTATTGTTCTTCTTGGTTCTTTCGGTAAAGTCACGTAGAAGGGAAGTAATACAATAATAAAAATAAAACATAAAATTAAAAATATTTTTTTTATTTTATTACTTCCCTTCTACGTGACTTTACCGAAAGAACCAAGAAGATGAATCCCTGCAGTCACGAAAGCTTTGAATCGAAATATTATTGTTGTGATGACAATCGCAATGAGAGTGTGCGGGCGTTCGTCAATCTGCCGCGGGATGAAAGGCGCCCCCCCCCCACCGCCACACCCCACGTGCCGTGGTCGTTGTCTCGGTGACTGTACTTCACCGTGACGCGAGCGGAAGGGGGCATCCCGGCACACGAGGGGGCGGGTGGCCGGCACCACGCCCGGCCGCCTTTGTCTCCCAAGTGGCGATGTTTACACACCGCACCGTGGTACTCATTTAGGGCGGAGTCGACCTAGGCGGGAGGTCCAGGACCGGTTCGGGTATCCGTCACCGATTGTTGACCGCGAGCGGGAATCGAAACTCGGCTCGCAGGGTTCGCGGATCGGCGCAGCGTGCTAACCGCTGCTGCGCGTGTTCCAGCTTTGCGGAGGGCTGCTCACCCGCCCGCTAGGCCCGTCCACTAGGCCCACCGTACCTTGAAGGCGAACTTGCGGTTGATTTTATCGCCGGCTTCCACCGGATTCACCTGGAAGCTGGGCAGGGAGATGCTGCCCAGGACACCCTCCTCCTTGTCGTCTGCGCTCCACCACGGCGGGGGGCCACGGGGCGGGTGGGGGGGAGGGGCGGAGTCAGCGTGGGTGGGAGGCCAGGGGGGGGGGTGGGGACAGCGAGCCCGTTGCCGGGGAGGTTCCGTGGCGCGGGGCGGAACGTCGGACGTCGCGGCCCAAGCGACTCGGCTCCCGGCACGTCACAAGCAACCGGGGTAACGACGACGATCGGGGCCGAGGTGGTAAGGGCTGGGGTTGAGAGGTCAGGGGTCAGAGTGCACCGCTCACCTTTGTAGTAGAACAGGCAGAAGTCGGACAGCACGAACCAACGCTTCTTCCACAGCTTCATCCCCGTGCTGTCCTGCGGTGCCGACAGCCACACAGCCGCTGCGTTAGGACGAGACTCCTCTACGCGAGTCTGTGGGTCTCTGTGTGAGTCTGTGGGTCTCTGTGTGAGTCTGTGGGTCTCTGTGTGAGTCTGTGGGTCTCTGTGTGAGTCTGTGGGTCTCTGTGTGAGTCTGTGGGTCTCTGTGTGAGTCTGAGTCTCTGTGTGATGAGTCTATGGGTCTCTGTGAGTCTGTGGGTCTCTATGCGAGTCTGCGGGTCTCTGTGCGAGTCTATGGGTCTCTGTGTGATGAATCTATGGATCTCTGTGTGAGTCGGTGGTTCTGTGTGATGAGTCTGTGGGCCTCTGTGTGATGAATCTATGGGTCTCTGTGCGAGTCTATGGGATCTCTGTGTGATGGATCTGTGGATCTCTGTGTAAGTCGGTGGGTCTCTGTGTGATGAGTCTGCGGGTCTCTGTGAGTCTATGGGTCTCTATGCGAGTCTGCGGGTCTCTGTGTGAGTCTATGCGTCTCTGTGATGAGTTTGTGGGTCTCCATGTCAGCGAATCCCACCCCACCTGTTTGTGAAGCCAACCCCGGATCATGACGGGCGCGTTGGGGTTCCGCCGGATGGAGTGCGAGCGTTTGCCAAAGTTCTGCAGCTTCCTGGAGCCCTTGGCGTTCTGCGTCACACGCAGAACGTTCCGTCACCACCACCACCACCACCACCACACGATCGCACACGCACGTACACGTGCAGCCCTCTCTCCGATCCACTGCTAGATGAGGGCTTCCCCACCGAGCCCCCCTCGCTGTGTTTTAGCCGCCCGGCGCTGCGCTCGTTGTTGCAAGCGTCACTCCTCTGCCCTCCGCTGTTGCTGGCGGGCTACTGCCTCCAACTGCCCAGCAGTGTCAGAGCGCACCTAGCCCGGCACTGTCCGGTAGCGTCCTTAACGAGCCTCCTCCGCAGAGGCCGATCTTCACGCCGCTAGCTTCAAATCCTTTGGCAACACATGGGCCCATCCCCGCTCGAGCGCGTGCTGCGTCCGTTCAGCCCCCCTCCATCCAACAAATTGTAAGATGCCTGGGAGGGGTGCGGTGGCCGGACACGCGGGCTACGTGACCCAGCCAGCGTGCTCATCGCACAATCCGGCCCGATTAAAACCGTGACAGGTCGTAGGCGGGGGCCAGGCCTGAATGTTTCCAACCGGCGCAAGCACGCTTGCGAAAACAGGGTCTCTGTTCATCTTCTTGGTTCTTTCGGTAAAGTCACGTACAAGGGAAATTATAAAATAATAAAAATAAAACATACTAAAACAATTCTCACGACGTTTCGGCCACAACGCAAGCAGCCGTCCTCAGGTGAAGAACAGGTCTGTCGGAAAGACAAATATGCTAAATTCCTCTTGATATGCAAATTATTTTGTCAAGGCGCTCTTCCCCCTCCAACCCAGCTTAAATAGACGCTCCAAGCCTGGTGGTGTTTTATTCAGACTGTCTTCTCGACAGACCTGTTCTTCACCTGAGGACGGCTGCTTGCGTTGTGGCCGAAACGTCGTGAGAATTGTTTTATTATGTTTTATTTTATTATTTTATTATTTCCCTTCTACGTGACTTTACCGAAAGAACCAAGAAGATGAATCCCTGCAGTCACGAAAGAAGCTTTAAATCGAAAACAGGGTCCCTGTTGTCGCAAGCGTAGAGAAGAGGAGGGCATAACCGTGGAGCGACAAGCCCCAGATCGCACGGCATCTCCCGCGTGCAGCGTTACGCGACCTGGTGAAAAGACAATGCCGCTCTAACGGTGTAGAGCCAGGGCGCTTCCGCTGCCAAAGCGGAGGCGTTGAGAGAGGCACACCGCCAGAGGTCGCAACCGGGTACCCGATACCCGTACCCTACCCGATACCCAGCTACCCGTACCCGGCCAGGTACGGGTACGGGTACCCGTTTGCGACCCTGGTGCGGCCGGGTACGGGTAAGGAATCATAACCCGTTTGCGACCTCTGCACACCGCCCAGGTGTGGAAACTCCTCCACCCTCTAAGTGGGAGCAGCATCCCTCGCTGGCACAGAGTGCAGTGGGGGCGGAGCGCGTGATGGGGTGCAGCGTAGAGGCAGGCCGGGGTTGTTCGTTTCACGCGTAGGAAACTTTCGCAATATCATTCATAATCAAGGTTTTTGGGTCCGATCGCGTAAGAATAAATGTCGTGTCGTAACCCTCCACCGCCCGACACAGCCAATTAGTGAGGGATTTGTCACGTAAATAAACGCCAATTAGTTACGTATATAGTGTAGTGTAGTGTGTAGTGTATAGTGTCGTGTATAGTGTAGTGTAGTGTGTAGTGTAGTGTATAGTGTAGTGTATAGTGTCGTGTATAGTGTAGTGTATAGTGGTGTGTAGTGTATAGTGTATAGTAGTGTATCGTGTAGTGTATAGTGTAGTAGTGTACTACTTCAGCCCACCGGTGTATTGGAGAGTAAATCCACAACATTTACAATCTCAGTATGACGCTACGCTGGTAATTACATCGACCATCAGCATCGGGCGATTTGACAGAAGAGTGAAGCAATCCACCGCCCCCCACACCCGCCGAGTGGCATGCTCCAGGTTCGGCAGATGAGTTAAACGACTCCCAGAGTGTCAATTACCAGATTATCAGCACACGCAGAGTGGGCGACCGCGAGGGAGCCATCCCTCAACCGCACCCAGAGATTAATCGGCTGACACACACACACACACACAGCTGTAACTACGACAGAGTCCCCGTATAGCCTTCACTGACTCTACGGAGATCTGTATAGTCAGCGAGTAGCACCTAAGAAGGCCGGCACGGCACACGAGGGGGTGGGTGGTCAGCACCACACCTGACCGCCTTTGTCTCCGCAGTGGCGATGTTTACACACCGCACCGGGTACGCGTTTGAGGCTGAGTCGACCTAAGGGAGGCCCAGGACCGGTTCAGATAATCGTCAGTGGTGTCGGCCGTGAGCTGGAATCGAACCCGGGTTGCCGGGTTCGTAGCGCAGCGCGCTAACCGCTACACCACCGCTCCCCACACACACGCCCACACATACACACGTACACACACGCACATACACACAGACGTACACACACACGTACAAACACGCACACATACACACACGCACGTACAAATGCACGTACACACGCACGTACACACACACGCACGTACGCACCTTAGGCACGGGGCTGGGGGGGGCGCCCCCCCCGTCGTGCTCGCCCCCTGCCGGGTGGCCGGACATGGCGGCGGCGGCGGCGTTGGTGGCGGAGCTCCCGCTGGACACGCTGACCGGGCGAGCGGGCGCCGCGTCACACACCACCAGCAGCGCCTCCTCCTCCCCTCCTCCTCCTCCGCCGCTGCCTCCGCCCAGCTGATGCTGCTGCTGCTGATGATGATGTTGGTGCTGCTGATACTGCTGGTAGTGGTGAGGGTGCAGGAGATGATGCTGCTGCTGATGCTGCTGCTGCTGCTGGTAGTGATGGGATTGGTGTCGCGGGACCGGGGGCGGGGTGGACGACTGCTGCTGCTGATGATGATGGTGGTGCTGATGCTGCTGCTGCTGCTGATGATGATAGAACTGTTGTTGCTGTTGCGGCGGCTGCTGTTGTTGTGGTTGTGACGATTCGGAAATCCTGGGGGAGACGTTGCGTTATACCGACGTCAACACGGGGGTCATCGTCGCCGCCAAGTTTCAAGTTGATTCTGTGTGACAAGGCGGAGAACTCGTTCGCAAGAGTGAGCGACTGAGTGAGTGGGCGAGTGAATGAGCAATCGACCGAGTGAGTGGGTGGGTGACTGAACGACTGGGTGAGTGGGTGGGTGGGTGGGTGAGTGGGTGGGTGAGCGGGTGGGTGAGCGGGTGGGTGAGCGGGTGGGTGGGTGAGTGGGTGAGTGAGCGGGTGGGTAGGTGAGTGTATGAGTGGGTGGGTGAGCGGGTGGGTGAGCGGGTGGGTGGGTGAGTGGGTGAGTGAGCGGGTGGGTAGGTGAGTGTATGAGTGGGTGGGTGAGTGGGTGGATGAGTGGGTGTATGAGTGGGTAGGTGAGTGGGTGAGTGGGTGGGTGAGTGGGTGGGTGAGTGGATGAGTGAGTGAATGAGTGGGTGGATGAGTGAGTGAATGAGTGGGTGGATGAGTGGGTGAGTGGGTGGGTGAGTGGGTGGGTGAGTGGGTGGATGAGTGGGTGGGTGAGTGGGTGGATGAGTGGGTGGGTGAATTAGTGGGTGAGTGAGTGGGTGGGTGAGTGGTTGGGTGGGTGGGTGAGTGTGTGGGTGAGTGGGTGGATGAATTAGTGGGTGTCTCATTTACAAGAGTGACGACCTAGGGCCATCAAATCGACAAAAGTAAAACAAATAAAATAAAGTGACAGCCATAAAGCAAACAGAAGACGTAAATAAAGACAAAGATCCCCCGCCCACCGTGTAACCTTAACAGACGGTTGGGGCAAGTGCTGCTGGCCAGCACCACGCCCAGTCGCCTCTGACTCCACAATGTTGATGTTTAACACACTGCACCAGCTACTCATTTGAGGCTGAGTCGACCTAGGGGGAAGGTGCCCAGCTGGTCCGGTTCGGTTATCGACGACGTTGCCCACGAGTGGGAATCGAACTGGGGTCGCCGGGTTGGTAGCGCAGCATGCTAACCGCTGTGCCACCGCTCCCCACACACGGACACTGACTCACAACAAAGATCCCACCACCCCCCTCCCCCCCACCTATAGCCACAGCAGACTGTTGGGGCAAGTGCTGTTAGCGGGCACCCATGAAGGCCGGAAGAGCGCACGCGTACTCATTCAGTGTGGTGGGTGGGCACGTGCGTGTGTGTGTGTGTGTGCGTGTGTGTATGTGTATGCGTGTGTGCGTGCGTATGTGCGTGTGTGTGCGTGTGCGCGTATGTGTATGTGCGTGTGTGCGTGCGTGTGTGCGTGCGTGTGTTTGTATGTGCGTGTGTGCGCGTGTGTGTGTGCGTGTGTGCGTGTGTGTGCGTGTGTGTGCGCGTGCGTATGTGCGTGTGTGCGCGTGTGTGTGTGTGTGTGTGCGTGCCACTCACTGATTGGTCAGTAGCAGCACGGCGGTGTCGCCAGCCTGCTCGCCTAGCGGGTGATCAAAGCTCGTGGTCCCATCGTTGTGACTGCAACAAACAGAAGACGCACGCACGCGTCACCGCACAATCGCAAACCACGCGCCGTGTATGGCACCATCGTCATCACCACCAACACCGTCGATACCAACACCATCGTCATCGTCATCATCGTCACCGTCGTCACGATCACCGCATCATCGTCACCGTGACCGTCGTCACCGTCGTCACGATCACCGCATCATCGTCACCATCACCGTCGTCACCGTCGTCACGATCACCGCATCGCCGATTCGCTTGCGTGTGGACGTTCTCGTGCACACCGAGTTTGCGCTGCTGCTCCCAAGCCTCTCCCCGTGGCAGCGGTTGACCCCGCCCCACCGCCCCACCGCCCCACCGCCCCACGACGTCAGAGCGTCGATCCGCCGGGCAACCGACGGCGACGCGACCGCTTCACCGCGCTGCCTTCGACGCCGATTCACTCAAATCCGGATCGCGCCGCACCAGCCGCGGCAGCCACAACCACCGCCCGCCCCACCTCCTCCCCACTCTGAACACTTGGCACGACCCTCCTGGAGAAACCAGAGGCGTGGGTGGCCAGCAGTGGCGATGTATTTACGCACCGCACCAGGTAAATATTTGAGGCCGAGTCGACCTAGGGGAGGCCCAGAACCGGTTCAGATAATCGTCACCGCTGTTGGCCGTGAGCGGGAAACGAACCCGGGTCGCCGGGTTCGTAGCGCAGAACGCTAACCGCTGCACGATCGCTCCCCACTCACACACACAGATACGCACACGCGCACACGATGTTTAGCCACTGCACCGGGCAAGTACTCGTGTGAATGCCCAGTCGACCTAGGGGAGTCCGGAGGACCGGTTCAGCCAAATCGTCGGCGCGAGCGAGAAAGCACGGAACGGGGACGACGCAGCGGCATCCACGAAGCCGTCGCTTGCGGCGAACTCAACGCGGCCGATAGTCACCGCTTTGTCAGCACCGCCACGATCGTGGCATCGCCGAACGATCCACGCGCGTTGAGCACGGAGGGCTACGAACTTCCGCTGCTAGCGACGACCAGCATCGTCAGAAGGTTACTCAAAAATATTGTTAGTAATGGGGATGGGGCGGTTAAAATATTACAAACGAAACTGTTTTTACTTTACCAGTCAAGGCGCGCTGAGCAATGCGGCTCCTTTTCAGAATCGACCTGGCCGCAGACGATACACAGCTCCGCCGAATACTCTCTAGAACGCCTGATGCCGATTCTTAAACACGCGGAGGGGGAAAAACCGGAGGAGGACCCGGAGAAAAATCCACGCGACCACGGGGAGAGAGAGAGTGAGACGCAAACTCCAACTACACAGCAGCAGGCGTCAGGGTCGAGATCGGACTCGTGACCCCATGCATACCAGGCGAGGGAGTTAACATCTCCTCGCCACCGTGGCGCCCGTGATGACGACGGCGGTGGCGGCGACGTAACGACTCATTGTGAACACCACCCCCCCCCCCAGCTCCCAAACACCCTCGCCCCGCAGGGCACCGTGAATATTTCAGCAGCTGCAGCTGTTGCTGCCACCACCGCCACCGCTGCCGCCGCCACCACCACCGCCACCATCACCACCACCGCCGCCGCCACCACCACCACTGCCGCCGCCACCACCGCCACCACCGGGCCAGGCGGGGCTGTGCGTTTGCCGAGCGGAAAGCCACCGCCGTGTGTACGGGGGAGACCGGCACGAGCCTCTCGGATTAACGCCGAACCCTTTAAGCAGCCTCGGCCTGGCTCCTACGAGCATCCTGAATTAACAGCGAGCCCCCTTCGGCGGCCAAAGCCTGGCTCCGTGGGCCTCCTGAATTAACAACGAACCCTTTGGCGGCCTCAGCCTGGCTCCTACGAGCATCCTGAATTAACAGCGAGCCCCCTTCGGCGGCTGAAGCCTGGCTCCGTGGGCCTCCTGAATTAACAATGAACCCTTAGTCTGGCTCTATGAGCCTCTTGAATTGGAACGCTGAACCCAGTGGCTTAGAGCAGCGCTGGCACGGCCCCCCCCCCCCCCCCCCCCCCGGTGGCAAGCGACTTGCAAACTCTGTGGACTTCCGTCGATCAAGACAAGAGACCCGCGACCTAAAATGATCGCCGGGAGATTTGGCGCCGTTGTAAGAAGTGGGATCGGTACTAAGTGGGGAGGAGGTGGTGGGGGGGGGGGAGAGACGTGTGGCCACGCCGGGGGGGGGGGTGGGGGGACAGGTGGGCTGGGGTAGGGGGCCATCAATTATTCACGTGGCGTTTGTTGCGATGCTCTCTATCCCGCTTGGGCCGCAGGGCGAGGGCTGTTCCACGTCACGTGTGGCAGAGTGGCGAGACGCCTACGGCCAAGTGCGAGCGTGTGTGTGTGTGTGTGCGCCCGTGTGTGTGTGTGACAGCGTGTGTGTGTGAGCACGTGTGTGTGTGATAACGTGTGTGTGCGCACGTGTGTGTGTGACAGAGTGTGTGACAGCGTTTGTGTGTGAGCACGTGTGTGCGCACGTGTGGGTGACTACGTGTGTGTGTGCGCCCGTGTGTGTGTGACAGAGTGTGTGACAGCGTTTGCGTGTGAGCACGTGTGACAGCGTGTGTGCGTGCGCGCATGTGTGACAGCGTGTGTGCGTGCGCGCGTGTGTGACAGCGTGCGTGTGTGCGCACGTGTGTGTGTGCGCACGTGTGTGTGTGACAGAGTGTGTGTGTGTGACAGCGTGTGTAGATGAGCATGGGGAGCGGTAGTGTAGTGGTTAGCGCTACGCTGCGCTACGAACCTGGCGACTCACGTTCGATCCCGCTCACGGTCAACACCGGTGACGATTATCTCAACCGGTCCTGGGCCTCCTCCCCTAAAATGAGTACTTGGTGCGGTGCGTAGTAAACATCGCCGCTGGGGAGACAAAGACGGCCGGGCGTGGTCCTGGCCACCCACCCCCTCGTGTGCCGTGCCGGCCTTTAAACAGCATTTGCCCCAAACGTGTGTTGAAGGCTATACGGGTGATCTTTGGCTTTGTACGAGCATGCGTGTTACTTTGCAGCCGTGAACACATGTGAATATGTGCATGCGAGTGAGCGTATTTGTGGGTGTGTAACAGTGCGATGCCTGCGGCTAAGTATGTGTGTGCGATCGTGTGAGTGCGTGTGTGCGAGCGTGTGAGCGCGTGTGAGCGCGTGTGTGTGCGAGCGCGCGTGTGTGCGAGCGCGCGTGTGTGCGAGCGTGTGAGCGCGCGTGTGTGCGAGCGTGTGAGCGCGCGTGTGTGCGAGCGTGTGCGAGCGTGTGTGCGAGCGTGTGCGAGCGCGTGTGTGTGCGAGCGTGTGAGCGCGTGTGTGTGCGAGCATGTGAGCGCGTGTGTGTGCGAGCATGTGAGCGTGTGTGTGTGCGAGTGTGTGTGTGCGAGCGTGTGAGCGCGTGTGTGTACGAGCGTGTGAGCGCGTGTATGTGTGAGCGTGTGTGTGTGCGAGTGTGTGTGTGTGTGCGAGCGTGTGAGCGCGTGTGTGTACGAGCGTGTGAGCACGTGTGTGTGCGCGGGAGAACCTGGTGACCCGACGTCGATTCGGGCTCACGGCAAACACCGGTGACGATTATCTGAAACGTTCCTGGGCCTCCCCTAAGTCTACTCGGCCTCAAACGAGTACCTGGTGTGTCGTAAACATCGCCACTGGAGAGACAAAGGCGGCCGGGCGTGGTGCTGGCCACCCACCACCTTGCGTGCCGTTCTCGCCTCCATAGGCGCTCGCTAACAGCAGTTGCCTCAACAGTCTGTTAAGGCTACATGGGGGCTCTTTGTCTTTGTGCATGAGAGCGTGTGTCAGCACGTGGCGCCTGCAGCCGAGAATGAATGAGTGTGCGCGTGCCGAGTTCGTGAGCGCGGAGTTCGTGAGCGAGAACGGTGGTGGCAGCGGTTAGCGCATCGCGATAAGAACCCGGCGGATCCCGAGTTCGATTCCCGCTCCCACCCAGCCTCACAAGACGACCTGGTGCTGCGTGCAACAAACAAAACAACGTCAGTACCGGGGAGACAAAGGCGGCACACGGGCGTGGTTTTGGCCTGCACCCCCCCCCCCAAACCGTGTCCCGGCCTTCACGAGCCCTTCTTCTGTAGCGGCAGGCAGCCCGAAACACATCTCACACGCGTGCTTCGAAATGATCCAAGGGACGCTGCGAAATGACTTTTTAAAAAACGGAACACGGAAATTATTTAGACGGAAGGAGCGTGCAGAGGGGGGGGGTTAGCAATGGGTGGGAGCACGATAGGCGGTAGGTAGGGAACAGGGAGGGGTAGGGGGTCACGGTAGAGGGGTGGGTAGGGGAGGGTAGGAGGGAAGGCAATGGTGCGATGGCGAAGAGGTGAGCGTTGAGAGAGGAAGGGAAGGAGTTTAAGGAGGGGCGCCGCTGAACGATCTAAAGTTCAATCCGCATCCGACGAAGCGCCTCACTCGCTTCCGAAGCTTCCTCCGCACCCCCCCCCCCCCCCCCCCCCCCCAGTTGTTGACGTTCCACTTCCTCGCGCGATAACAAGACGGGGCCGGAGAGACGAATCGGCTGGCGCATCGCTTCCCGACGAGGACGCCACGAGGTAGAGGAGAGAGCACGCACGTGTCCCCGCCGCTCAAACTCCGAACACGACAACCGGCGGTGGAAATTCCACGCTCCCATGGCAGGCAAGGGCGTGCATGTCCCTCCTCTCCCCCGCCCCCCCCCCGGGATGAGGGACCGCTCCGCTCTTCCTTCTCAAGGTGTCAACTTTCGTGGCCCGCCGCAGTATTTCACTGCCTCCTCGAGGTGGCAATTTGAAATATTTGCTTCGTTTTTTCCCCCAGCATTTGGCAGAGGGCCGTGAAGCCCCAGGGGGTGCGAGATGGTGGAGTGGGGGGGGTCCCAGCTGCCTGGGCTTTACACAGCTCTGTGTTTTTTTTTTATATAGAAACATCGGCAACCTACAGCCCCCTTGGTCGTTCCACTGCTGGATGAAGGTGGGTGGGTGGGTGGGCGGGTAGGTGGGCGGATGGGTGAGTGGGAAGGCGGGTAGGTGG